TTTTACTTTTTTTCTTCTATATAGCTTATTAAAGTTTATATTTTAATTTTTATAGTTAAAAATATTTTATTTTAGTTTTTCTATATATTATTTTTTATTTTCTTTATAGTTTAATGTAAAGTTTATGAAACTATGGAGACTAAAATAAAAGAAAAACAAAATGTACAAAGACTAAACTGAATTATTTTTAATTATAGAGACTAAAAAGATAAAATTCATGAAATTATAAGAAATAGAAAAATAATTAAACTTTTATTTAAAAGTACACCTTTGATTTTCTTGTGTTTCAATAATTAATCCGGCATGGATTGACACATTTGTTAAACATCATAAACTTACACGTGAAGACAATCTGTTCAACTTTAACATGCATATTTTTTCTTTAAGAACGAAAGAGGCAAAGAGAACTTTCATTATGACTAGAACAAGCCCCCCTTTGTATTTTTATTTTTTAGTTTTTTGCAAGGGACACTACATAACCCAAAAGCTTTTTCGGGTTCACACCTTCTTATATGAATCTCAGAAATTTCTTGGCAGCAGCAAAACGATCGAAGAGATGGAACTTGGGAAGTGGGACTGGGAAGTGAATAATTTATAAACAAAAAATTTGCACTACAGTGTCACCGCCATAGCCATATTCCAATGTTAATAACTTTTCTGCTTAGGTTTTAGATTTCAGAAATCAAAAGTCATGAGACCTTAAACTTCGAAGAAGCCAGCAGGCATATATATGAATATGATTTCGCCTTTCTTGACCTTTTCTTTAATTACGCGTGACTCGGTCTACTTTTCATGCAACTACTATATAGTTTATATAATACCATTACTAGCCATTGGCCTCTAGCTATATGACACCAAATAAAGTTTACATAAATGCATACATATTCCAAAAATAAAAACGCGTTTATTTTCTAAATTATTGTTAAGGAGCGATCACCAGCGCCGACTACAGAAAGTTAATTATTTATTAAGATGGCCAAAAGCCCTAGCTAGGATATGAATATATAGAAATTAAAATGTAAAAGAAAAAGGGGAAAGAGAGAATGAATAATTGGTATTTGAATCTCTCTCACATATGGGGGGGCTCCCCAAGCTGGCTGTGGAACGCAGTGCAAGGGAAGCTTAGGGATAAGAAATGATAACACATATCCCTATCATATCATGCATATGAGATATGGGTGGCTAATTAAAAGGAACATATATCAATGTATATTCATATAGCTTAATTTGGTGTGTAGCCATTTGGAGGATTGCATTTGATCATATTACTGGAGCAAGGTTGGAATGATGCCATTCATTCCAAAGCATATTTAATAATTAATATGTATACTTTAGAGAAACGCCAAGGTCGTACCTTACAATCCTTTCATGAAAAGGAGAGACTCCTATGAAGTTCAAGGCCTCATGCACATGCTTCCCTCTCCCTCCCATGAAATTTTAACCACTTTGAGAAGTGGAGGAGGTGTGGGGTACTCCCAAAAAAAGTTCTTCACATAAAGCCACAAACTTGTACTTCCATCTTCGTGTTATGGCCTATACATAATAATAATAATAATAATCACGAGTTATATATCATTAATTAAAGTAGTTAGATGAGTTAGGTAGTTGGTTTTATTAACAACACTTCACTGTCAACTCATTAAACCTAGCTATACTTTAATTAAGTTAATCATATACTACTATACTTTTTGATTAGCATGGACGTTGAATTATGTATATAATTAGTTAAGGTTATTTACAACACACCGAAAGTGACATTCTTCAATCATTTCTAGGTATATATTATAATGGATGAAGCTAGCACATTAACTTAGAGATTCATATGTCCTTTCAATGAGGGAGAAACTATACGTGCAAGTAGCCTATAGGAATAGGATAATCGGATTATGTCGTAAAAAGCTAATGGTCCAAAATCCAAACTAAGAACTATCTAATCTACACTCTAGTACTACGCGGGCGTAGCGTTTGTTTGTTTTAATCATTTTTCATCATTTTCCCACCATCAAATAATATATATTCTCGACGCGCAAAGATGTATCTTTTTTAATTAGTACTTTATAAACAATATTAAGTAAAGAGTGACATTTTAAATATCTTTTTAAAATATAATTTTTAAATTTTATTTAATAATTTAGGAATTATCTTTAAATATTTTTAGGATTTAGAGTTATTTTTTTTTTTTTAGCATAAGTGTTTATGAGACACTGTGAATAATTTTAAAATAAAAACGTTTTTTCATTTTTTAATATATTGTAAGTTTTTTTTCTTTCGTTAAATATTCTTGAACACCGACTTCATATTTATTTCTATAAACATCACTAGACATACAATTATAATAAGTGAAAAAAAATTATTTGGACGAAGGAGTTTTCTTTTCATTGCTCCCTTGTAAAGTTTCATGAAGGAGTTTTCTTTTCATTGCTCCCTTGTAAAGTTTCATTATTTGCTAAAGAAAAATACTGTTATTGTACGATAAAATTTATTATATATAACTTTTATTTTACTTATTTAGCAAGTCTGCATATATATAGTTTACAACTTTAGTTAATAATGAAGAGTGTGTATATTTTAATAAAATAATTATATTTGAGTCAAATAAGAATAAATATAAAAAAAAATATATGTTAAACTTGACAAATCAATTTATCTAGCTCATAGTCAAAATAGTTGAGATTAGATAGTATGTCCACCACTAACCCGTTATAACCTATAGAGCTCCTCACAAGCTATCCATCAAGTCAAAATGTTTAATGTGTTTAAAATTTAAGTTTTGTATGTTAATGTATAACTAAATTTTGTTGAGAAAATATTTATTGTTATATGCGTAAAAGTTATCAAATATTAGGGAAAAAATTATATATACTTTTAAGTTTTTAAATACAATTAATTTTCTATATAACGAAATAAAAAATAATAATTTTATTCTAAGCATAATAATAAGTTATTTACATACTTTATATCAGTTAACTAAATTTGGCTGCTTGAGTTAATATCCAATGAAAATATTAGATTTTTTTATATAGTTTTTGACAAGTCAATTCACCAATTTGTTCTTAAGTAGGGCAAATTAAGATTTTTAAGTCGCTATTACTGACCCTACTCATTCTGTTTGTGGCAAACTATTAACAAATTCGGTCAAATTAGAGCAAGTTATTAGTTTATTTTATCACCTCTAGATATATGATCTTTAATTATAAATGACAAAAATTCTCTTTTTAAGTATTTAATACAATTGTATGCTCATAATTTGAACTTAAATCTATATAAATTAGTACGTGCTAAATTGTGTTTAATTGTGTGAAGAGCGTTTAAAACAACATATTCATTATTGAGTCTTGGAATTTAGACACTTTTAAATTGTTAGACTCCCCTAATGGCATCTACAAAATGACAAAATGAAGTTGATTCAACATTAAAATAGTAATTAGGAAAAATAAACCAAATAAAAATAGGTGTACAAAAGACATTTATATCTGATTGTGAGTGTTGAATGTTATTTCACAAAATTAACTTAGTATATATGTTGTTGAGTTACTAAATTGAAAAGCAAGGAAAGTAATATAGCAGAAACAGATATTAGAGGAGGTGAGGGAGTAGATTTTATTGGTATTTAGTTGAAAGGCAGAAAAGGAGTATGAGAGTGAAGAAGATGGGTTAACGTAGAGATGGCAAGTGTGGGGTGTGAAGTTGAGGTTGGCAGAGTGGGCGAAAACAGCTCTATAAGTGGCAATGCCAATGGTTTTATGCATTTGGGTCCCCCCAACACCCTCTCCTTGCTCCTTCTCTCATCCCCTCCACGTGGGTCATCTTACTTACCTCTCATCTTGCCACCTCATCATCACCCTACTATGCATACACAGATTTTTCTGCCAATCCTTTCATGTCCACCCACCCCTTTAATTTCTCTTAATTATTATTTCTATTAACCACTTTTCCTTCATTTGTACAAATTTCATCTCATATAATATAAATAAATTTTATGTTTGAGATATTCAATTTTTACTCTAATATGAATTTTTATATCCGGTAGTAATTATTTTCCATGGTATTCAATTGAGAATACTTGTATTCTATGAAAAATAATTATATCACCCATTAAACGATTATTGGTGATGTTTACATGTTATCTATTGTAGAGGGAATGTTAAACTTGGAACTTGAGGAATTTATACTTCTCAAATGTAATGTTTCTATTTTTATTGATAGAACCAACACTATATATTAAGCTTTTGCGTCAATTATAGTAAGTACTATTGTTTTTTATTTAATTAATTATTTTCTTGATTCATGGAGTTTCCTTTCGCTTTTGTGGACCCGAAGAATCAGATGAGGATGACATGTCATCATCATTGCCTCCTAATTCTCCTTCCATTAAGTTTGACTATTAGCTTATTATTAAACACCCCTCCGCTTTCCTAAATTAACCTTCTAAACCCTAAACTTATATTATTGGATTTTACGCACTCACCCCTCTCAACTGTTGATTATTACGCTTTGCAAAGATGAAAATTTCATGCCTCTACCTAACTTAATCAATACATAGAAAATACTGATTTTTTATTAAGGAAAAAGAAGCCCCGTTGTGATTGTGATGATGAAGGAAAACTTTCCAGGGAATTGAAAGAATAAATTCTCGCAAAATTATTTGCCAATCCTCGCACAATTTCTTTAACAATCACAACATAGTAGGATCTAATAAAATAATCAAACAGAATATAACGTTATAAAATATTCACATACCGAAAACAAAAACAACGTTCTAAAATACGAGAAGAAGTGGCTTATCATGATTTGACAATCAAAAATGTTATAGGAGAAAAAGAAAAGTAGTCTAAACTAAAAAAGGGGGGTTTTGAATATTATTTAAAAGAAGAAGAAAATGACGTAATAGTTTAATGCAGAAGAGCATTAACTGAGGAGTCCATCACATGCACCTATCATGGCCAATCCCCTATTTAAGCTCTTGAACCTCTCCTCTTTCATTCATTCCAAAACTCACATAACATTCACATTTGAACACCAAAGTTTTCATATCTCAAGTCCTCTGAAAACACTTTAGAAAACAATCCAAAGCACAGAAAATGGACAACTTGTTTCGCCTAGTAGACCACGAAGACTTGTTCTCTCGTCGTTGCATTTGGGTCAACGGCCCTGTGATCGTAGGTGCAGGTCCTTCAGGGCTAGCCACAGCAGCATGCCTTAGAGAACAAGGGGTACCCTTCATGGTTCTCGAACGTGCAGATTGCATAGCCTCACTGTGGCAAAAACGCACCTACGACAGACTCAAACTCCACCTCCCTAAGCAATTCTGCCAGCTCCCTAAACTAGCCTTCCCCCAACACTTCCCCGAGTACCCCACAAAGAAACAGTTCATAGAGTACCTAGAATCCTACGCTAACCACTTCGACATCAACCCTCAGTTCAACCAGTGTGTTCAGTCCGCAAGGTACGATCAGACTAGTGGCTTGTGGCGTGTCAAGACCGTTTCCTCCTCTTCTGGCTCCTCACGCAACGAGGTTGAGTACATTTGCAGGTGGCTTGTCGTGGCCACTGGGGAGAATGCTGAGTGTGTTGTGCCTGAGATTGAAGGGTTGACTGAGTTCAAAGGTGATGTCATCCATGCCTGTGATTACAAGTCGGGGGAACCCTTCAAGGGGAAGAAGGTTCTTGTTGTTGGATGTGGCAATTCCGGCATGGAGCTCTCACTTGACCTTTGCAACCACCATGCCTCTCCATCCATGGTTGTTCGCAGCTCGGTAAGTTTAATTCTCATGCACCGTCACTATTATTAACTAATCATATAATTATTATAAAAGTCATCACTGTTATTAACTAATCAGAAATTATTCATCAGGTGACTTTTAAGATAATTATTATAAAAGTTATTTGAATGATGAATGATGATTAGTTTACGCTGTCAATTAATCAAAATCATTGGTAAGAGGACTTTTAAAGTAGTTGCTTTGAAAGTTAAGAAAATTGCTTTATACAGATGACATGTGATTGGATGACACATAAGAAAAAGAAGAACATGTTTTGAGAAAGGAATCTAACAGGGGTGTTCTGTTTTTGGATACAGGTTCACGTGTTGCCTAGAGAAGTGTTTGGGAAATCGACGTTTGAGTTGGCGGTTATGCTGCTGCGATGGCTGC